GTGTGCTTTCTGAAGGGGATTTAACTTTATCACATATTTTGGAATTATTCTCATTTGTAAATGCATTAAGCTCACCAAGTTTAGAACTGGCTTCAGTGGCATGCCCACTGTCTCCTGTTGGCTGCGAATTTGATTGCACCGACTGTGACGTGGAAATTTTGCCTAGCATATTCAGCACGGGCTTTCTGTCGCCTGTGCTGTCATTCATGAAATCGATGTGGTCTGTGGATTGCTCGGTGATGGTACTGGCAGGCCTGTCGAGGACAGTGGGGTTTGACTTCACGCTGAGTGTTGTGTCCTGAGTGGAGATCGTGTGGTCAGTCGACGGGGGCGACGCTGAACTCGTCAAGGACTGCATTGCAACTGAAGGCCTCTCGTTTGACGAACTAGACTCCATAGGCGTGATGCTGCAGGACTCTGAGGCTCGGTCTGATGCCGAAGACAGACTCTGTGACTGCTCTGGGTTGGGAGTGTTAACACAGGAGTCTGAGGGTGTACAACTCGTGTCTCTTCTGGGAGTCGAACTCTGCGTCCGGTCGCTCTGAATCAGTGCCCCATCTGGAGTTACTGTAGATGTCTGGGAGCTAAACTCAAGTGTGGAAATTCTGTTCCCGGAGGACCACTCAGGCGTGGGCGATGTGCTCTCTGTAGACGCAAATTCCATCGTTTTCGAAGAGGACGAATCGACCCTGGACGAAATACGAGGCTTCACCGTTTCCTTTGAAGGATGCGGAATTCTGCTTCCTGTATGATTACTGTGTGTAGATCGACCACTTTTCGGACTACTGAGTTTTTTCTCTGTATTTCCCTTACTGTTTGGACTTTGTATCATTTCTTTATTTGGCGTAGGTTGGGGTGTGCTGGAACAGGGCTCATTCTCTTTTGTTGGTGTTAAATATATCTCGTCCCGCAATACTCCTTGTGGCACAACATATTGTGTGGTATTTCGTGGAGTTTGACATTTTTCATTGCTGAGAGTGGATGATCTGCTATCCATGCACTCCAAACCTGGTGTCTGGGAGGATGACAGATTGTCTTTCACTGAACTTTGCGGCTCTGTAGACTCTGTAGTAGTTCGTACTTCTTTGTTGATGGCGGATGAAGGTCTGTCGCTTGTAGACTCTGGTTCTGGTGACTGGGAGGACGATAAATCATCTTTCACGAAACTTAGAAGCTTTGTGGATTCTGTAGTATTTGTTGAACTCTGTTTTACTCCTTCATTTGGTGTAGAAGTAAGTCTGTTGTCACCTACTGCTGTCTGCAGATGTGACATATCACCACGCACTGAAACCTGTGAGTTGTCAGAACGTACATTGTTTTGTGGACTCACATATTTCCACGGAGTGGATGAAGGTACTTCAGTTGAAGTTCGATCTGGTTTCGAGTCCTCCTTGGGGGAATTTAGAGGTCCCGAAGTTTCTTCAGATGCTCTGCCAGGCACTGACTCAATTGTTTCTTCAGACACTGTGTCAAGTGTGGATCTGGCAGGAGCCGCGTTCGTTGTACTTTCATTAGGGACAGGAGATCGATCCCCTTTCCCTGTTCTGTTACCCATTTTTTCGCTTATGTGATCGCTTGAGTCTGGTGACGATGTCCCTGCAGTGGGATCATCAGAGGAACTTCCTGGCTGGGTCGTGGGGTCACTGGAAATTGTGTCGGGGGTTTCGACGGGTACAGTGGCAACTCCACTATCACTTGAACACGATTGCTGCTTGGTCAGCGAATATTTCCGCATGACAGTCTCTGGCACAGAGTACCGCCGATGTAGCAGACCTGTGTTGGTCCGACCCCTGCCTCGTGGTTTGTTGCTTATCCCCATGTCAGCCAGCGTCGCCAGTTCTTCGCTGACACCAGTTGCCCTGAAGCAGGAGTCTCTTGAACACGCAATACATGACGCAGACTTTGTGTTTTGTTTGCCCCTACTAAGCCAAACACAAACATGAAGCAAATTACCATAAATGGACTGACAGAGTTTGACTTAATCAGACAGATGTTGAGTTCGTTATTTAGTTAAATAGTAAGTTCGTCTCTCAGTCAGTTAGTTGAGATCAGTTCAGTCTGTCGGTCTGGTAAGTTTATTTTGAACCAGATATTTGGTCAGTTATTAAGTACTCCATTAGTCGAGAAGCCTTGCAGACGTTAAACAGCCCCCAGTGAGAAATGGCAGGACAAAAGTCAAGTGTGGCCGAGTGACCCCAGAACTAAGAACGAATTGTATAAGAAATCGCTCGTCGGATGTTTTGTTGCCCGTGGAATTCGCGCCACGAGGGCGCGTGACATCGATCGGTTGGATTCGGAGGTTCACGTTCTAAATTGGTGAAACATGAACACATTATTGAACTTTCATGTCACAAATCAAGAAAATGTGGACGTTATGAATCCAAAGGGATTATTAAAAGATCCATCATGAACTCGGTACACCCGTGCAAGTAACCCAGTTTGGGATGTTACTAGCGATAGGCGTCCCTGAAAGTTATTTCTGATCCGTCAATATTTAACGAAGGTGGCGTCCACACAGAAGCACGTAACCACCGACGGACAGTAAAGCGTCTCATTACTCGTCAGATAGTATTTAAATGCAAATGGTGGAGTGCTGACGTCATGAAGACAGAGAAGGTGGTTATTGCGATGAAGAACACGAAAGAAGGGGACATGAAGCGAAGAAACAAGGCGAATTTCATTATTCATTCGTCGCCTTCATTCGATGCGAAACAGTCTCAGCCATCGGTAAATAAATCAGAAGGGAAATGTACGTTGAGCCTTTTTTATAATAATAATAATGTAATAATTTTCAGTTTACTGTAAAGTAGTTGTATTGGACTGATACGAAACCAAAAATGACTTCGCCTGGTAAATTTCTGCCCCGACCAACAATACGAAGCAAGTGATCGAGTTGTTTTGAAGACGAATCAAGTGGACAGACATATTTTATGCACTTCGTACAAAAAATACATGATAGAAGAACAAACACTGCTAAGGGAAAGTGCTAACACGTCACTACATTCCCTGGAACAGGACGGGGAGAATTCTTATGATTCATATTCAAATTATGCGTTGATTTCCATAATGAACGCCACTTCCGCAGACACGCTATCACGTGACCACTGTTATTTCCCTCTGCAAGTCTTCCATAGCGAGCTCAGAACGCGGAAGCAACTGGGTATCGTGAAATCACATTTAAATCAAACCACGGCTGTGCTTTTCAATAAGTGCATGAAAGACATACTGTGCGTCGCGTCGGTTCCACCCAGACACTTCGTACTTCACGTCTGTGTAACAATACTTGACACTGACTTCGTGTATTTAGGGTTCTGAAGGATTACATCTTGATCTTATGCGTTTTATACAAATAAACTTAGTGTATTCCGTTCACGATGTCTGTGGAGAGGACTTGGTATAAACACACGTAGTGCGATGGATAGAAATCCAAGTTCACAGTGAGGCGACGGTCGTAACAAACTAGTGTGGAAGTTTGAACCATGCTTGTCACAGTCGTAATGATACTGAAACACTTAAACTGTGTCATTGGGTTAACGTATTGATTTCCTGACTGCCTGTTTGTTGTTTTGACGTAAAAAGACAGACATCGCGTGAACTCGCTTGTGAAACTTCACCGGCAGGAACCAATAGGAGATCAGCATTTTATCGCCACCTGATCGGCATGTTTACATTAATATTACAGTGATCGTGAATGAAATATAGTAAACACTTGTTCCATTGTTGCTCGAAAGTGTTCGAGCACACGTTTTTGTAACATGATGATTTAATGTTTTGTATGAAATTCAACATTTCTTGTTTCGCTGCGCTGTGCTGGGTGAAACATAGGTAATCGCCCTGATGATGGAGGCAGTATGACCTCTGAAACGTTGGTGGAAATCTATCAGACTACACGGCGCAACAACCCAGAAGACAGGAATCTTGGTTAACATGCATACAGTGGATGTAGGAAGCAAATTTCCACGCTTGAAGCAAACTCTTGCATATTTCGTAGGAAGAGAAATCATACACGCAAAACAAAGATTCGTTACAGCGAAACAGATTACAAAATGCTCTGTGTGAGTAGCCGCAACATTTGTGGAACTGAGAGGACCGTTTGGCTTGTGGAGGCTGTAAGATATTTTAATGATCTGAAAACAACTGACGCTGTAAGAGCTTTGTACATAAAAGAGTGTGTCCAGCTGTTCATCCGAAAGTGTTATTTTTTTGTATATATTCCCTCGTCTAATTTTATACGTGCACAGCTAAAATAAATCTTATTCTCGTGAAAGGTAAAACGTGTAAGGATTTTGGACTACGCGGTACGATACTGTCCCGGAATTCGGCTGAATAGACTGAGGAGAATCACGCAATATATCATTCAGGATACTCGGCTCAGATTTAAACTGGATGCAGCCAGTGCGGTGCCCAGGGCGAAGCACCCTAAGCGCGGTGGTTGCTAACTCACCTATCGGAAGACAGGCACCTCGGGGGTTCCCAGACCCTCCGGATGGTGCTGAGAACTTCATCCAGAGATGAAGCTGAGGTGCCCACAGCGCCAACTGTGGACAGAAAGCACAATTGTTATTCTCAGCCTGCTACTGAAGTGCCCGTGCAGAAATCATGAAGAACTTTCATGCAGCTGTGAATTAATGCGTTCCTGGCTTTTCATTGTTTGCTGACTTATTGGATGCACATCAACTCCTGACAACACATAAAACATGTTACAATAAAACCTATATAAAACGGAACCTCCAATAAACTCGCACCTGCCTTTGTCGGAAAAAAATTTTGACCATTGAGGAATAGGCCTCTGCTGTGAATTCTAATTCTGATCAACGGAAGCTGTAATGAAAAGTAATTTTAATTATAACATTTATTACTTCCTGGTCACATAATTTTGTTCCGTACTGTGCTTCCTGGTATGAAAGGAATATTCCTGGCACAGATAGGAAAGAATCGAGCCGTTTGTCGACAAAATAGGGGCAGAATACCTTGTCGGACCACTGGAGGAAGGTCTGAGGCCACATGAACATGAGTGAGGAATTATAAATTTATAATACGGAATCAAATATTTCAGACTGCAGCAATTTATGGCTTCTCAGAGAGGACTCTCCTCCTTGTATTAATAGTCAGTTCTGTAATACAATAAAATTATACTTACTGTGGAATTAATTCAGTACTCCACTACGTGTAGGCTTTCTATCTATAAAATCTAATGTTTTCTGCGCAGTCTGCCACGAACTATTTACTTCTTGATGTGGTGAAAATGTAATTTATAAACAATCGCCACAAAATTCGATGATATATATTCACTGTAGTCACAACGTCGTAAAACAATCAAAGACTTGGCCACTGCCAAGTATCTGTGCATTGAGGACATCAAGACGAAACGCATCCCCGCATCTTATAAAGATACTACGATCTGTCTGCATGTTGAGGATGTCAAGATGAACACAGTCAGTCAAAACTTTAGTGTCTAAATAAGCCAATATTTCCAGTCGGGTTCGCCGTGACAGGGTATCAAGATGCCGTACTGAAATCGATGCTTTCCAAAAGGCAAGTCATATGTCTCGAGGAGCGGCGTGGTCAGGCTTTGCCGAGGAACTGACTGAGAAATTATTCTTGGGAGCTCCTTGATCAATACCACGTGGTCAGTGCTCGCGTGAGTCTCTCTTGACCAATGGACTGTTGACCGCAACTTGTGAAATTACAGCACCTGTCCTACAACGCCCTGTCGCCACTGCTTCTAGGCATAAAGCTCTGTTCTAGCAACCAACATTTCCAACGGTGTCAGAATCTTCCGTTTTTGAACTGTGTAGATTATGACCTAGGCATGTATGACGTTGAATGATAGAATGATTTGGAAAGAATGTGGAAGGAAGCGGTCGTGGCGTATTTTAACTTATTGCTGCCTTTAGCATGTGTCTGGAACGACTGAGGAAAGCTACAAAAGATTCCAGTTCCAAATCAAGGTTCAAGCCCATAATTTCTTAAGTGCGAAAGGTTTGCAACGGTTTAACGAGACGTCCTGTGCTGATAGACACATTTCGAGAGGGGCGTTTATCACCCCTCTTCTTTCCGAGTCATCATTGTGGCATTAGAAATGTGATGTGGTAATTGTGCATTTGTAAAAGTGTCAATGTGCTCACCTCCACAGTGGGCGAACAGACATGTCTTGAGGTCCCAGAACGGCTCTCTGAGATATCGCCTCCAGACCCGCCTGTGCAGAGCAGATCTCTTGCGGCGCGTCAGTGTCTGCTGCCTCTTCTTGAGCACCGCGTCCAGCGCGGCCTTTCTCCGGCCACGCAGATCCCTGTTACATCGCGAAGACGGGTCAGTACACACCCACAAATATTGTCGGCAAGCCGTTTTGGCAAACTGTTTACAAACATGTTTCGTCCATGTTTTCGAACAGTCCGCCATCAAATATCCGATGTTTATTGTTTCCCATCGGAAATAAAGAGCAAGATGACAATGCTTGCAAGTGTGGACGTGTATCTAAACACGTTGTCTATTATTAGTCCAAACGAATTCACAACAACGTGTCTATCTTGGTTACACTGTCTCCATAAGTCTGTTATAAAAATATAACTTTTTAAACTTTCGTAACCAGGTTCTTCTATTCGGGAGGTACTCGGTTAGAATATCTTGCGGAACATCGGCTATCGATTCTAAAATTTGAACTCTGACCTTAAGCGAAAATGCCATGACCACCTCCCTTTCTGGTTTAAAATGCATAATTCGCCTTATCCGGCGCTAAATAACTTATGTAGTTGATACATATTTCTAAAACCAAGAAATAATACAAAATGAACTTTCATTAGGCGGTACTATTTGTTCTCGGATATTACAAAACAAACGTTTGTCGCAATCGAGGTTACTGACACTTTGTTTTCGTGATCGATAAAGTCGAAAGGTGACGGTTTAAGAATTGGAGACGTCTGTCACTGCCAGACACTTGGGCGAAGGTCAATCCTTTCCTCTGAAAATAAGATCAGAAATTAATTGTATTATAGCAGTACACAATGCCTGTTTTTTGATGCCAGAGCTGCGGCACTAGGCACGACTTTGTACTGGTACCGTGGCTTGCTTGGCTGTGCTAACCAGTTTCACAGTTGTTTAAACTTAGTAGAGGATGACTATATACTTCTGACGCAGTCCTACAAAGCAGCCGCTTTAATATATTTTGGATACGAGTCATTATGTAAACAGGCGAGACCTCGTACCTTAACGCCGGTATCTTTTGTCACAGTGCGTAAATGTCAGAATAATATTAAAATGAATAAATAAATTTATTTCAGAGAAGTAGAGTGTGAAGCTGTGGTCTGGATTCAACTGGCTGTGAATAGGGTGTAGTAGCGGGCTGATGAACAGTTAAGGCATGTGAAATTTTGTATAATGATCGATCGTAAAAATGCGTTCAAATTGAGTTATTATAATTCCAACTCATAAATTCGCACTGCTACCATATTGGTATTGTTGTTTGGGGGCGGGGGTTAGTAGTACGATAGTGGGGAAACATTCAGTGACATTTTTTCACACATTTTAAAAATGGCTGGATTCTGTGTTCTGAAATTATTTAACAGACACATGAAGTCTGTCTTCTTTTCACCAAGTGGGGTGACTGTATTTTCGATATCCTGAGGGCGGACCGGTTATGGTCGTTGCCAGGTAACCACAGCATCCGGATTTAATTTCTCGCCTTTATTATTAAACGTATCAGCGGTGATCTGAACTGACAGCTGGTTAATTCTGTGGAGCGGAAGTAATTTGGACACCAAGTACTACCAGTTTCGGTCCTGTCCTTGATCGAGATCAAAATATCTCTTGACTGTTTTCCTATGCATCATATTAAAACGAGTTTTTGTATCCACTTTGTCCCATTTTCGTACCTTACAAGACAGGACAGAGATACTTCCATAAACGTTATGAATTTTGACGTATTGAACTTCGTATCTGAGAGGTCTCGGTTTAAGTCTTGGCCCAGAAATCGCCGTTTTCTTCAGCCATCTAGGCAATTGCTGGAATAGTAGCCTGTCTAAATTTAGAGCATGGCGGCTTTCTTCCTCCAATTTATTAATCACTTGTCCTATCATAAGACGCTTTGTTATCTTGAAAGTAACCACGAATAAAATCTAGTAATTGAATAACATACAAAACTTTTGTCTAAAACCTCGAGAGACGAGGCCGAATAATATTAGAGGAATAGGCCTGATGTTAAACGTGAAGCTGCTACTTGTGTAATTCTCTCAAATTATTTATTGCTGCAGCCAGATTTGAGTTGCTGAAGTTTCTTTTTTTTTCCATCTCCTTTGTTTCTTTTTTCCTTTCTCTGTCTCATTTTCTAAATGTTCGATGCATATTAAATATTTTGAAGCATTCGCATCAGAATATTATTGAAACAGAAGTAGGATCATTCTGTATATTTTTTAAAATTAAAAATTCCGGTTTAGCAACATACAAATCATGAATTAATTCTACGACACGGACATGGCACAACAAATTGAGTTGCTGGCAGTTTCATAAAGCTTGGACTGATCTGTACTTACTGCCCTTGTTCGCACGGATCAGCCACCCTGAATGGGTGCGAGAAATAGAACAGACACAGAGGTGACCGGGGCCGGTGAGGTGACATCGCCGGCGACGACGATGAACCATCCTGCAATGTTTACAACGACCCTGTGTCAACCGAGTACATGAACGCTAATAACAACAACTAGATATGCAGAAACATTAAAGAAAGCGTTTAAAAATTATATTTAGGACTTTCTACTGTTGTCGTAATTAGTTTTCAGCAATGGAAACAAAACGGATACGAACAATCCGCCTGTAACTTCGTAACAAAATTTTAGTAGGGATGATAATATTGCGTCATATTGTGTTGAATATATACTTGTTCAATGTTATCAGTCTAATCACAATAAAATATTATTATTAAATATTAAAAGATTACTACAATTAACATTTAAATATTTAATGCGATATTAAAATACAATAGGTCTGGAAGAAGAAAACTTTCTGATTTTTTATGGACATCTGACGAAGGATTGCACTTAGGATATTACATATGAGTTTATATGGATTATACACCTGAGGATGGTTCATTTAGAACCGAAACATGTAGTGTAAAAGATGATGCTCTAATGTAAATCGAACATTTCGATAGAGAGCATCATTTTAATATATTTTAAATATTTAAATGTTAATTGTAATAATATTTTAATATTTAATAATAATATTTTATTGTGATTAGACTGATAAAATTGAACAAGTAAAAATTTTAGTAGATTATAGCAAGTGACCAATTAAAGCTATAATTTTTGGAAGTTTGGCAGGCTGACAATGCAGGAACCACTTTCCATTCTTATCAGCAGTCCGTCATACTAAAATAAAAGAATTTCATGCCAATTTGCATATCATTGAATTAATGGCTTTCTTTATCGCGAAATTACCATTTTTACGTTATAAGATAACGGTTCGTAATTATTTCCGGAACGCGCCAAACTTATTCCGGCCGATTCTTTTGTTAATTTGCACTCAAGCGGCTGAGATTATTGAAGCATTCATGACTTCTGCTGGAAAAGCGAACTCCAGTACATTTGAAGAATGTAGTGGTTAGTATTCCTGCTTTGTAGGATTTGAGGTTCTCACAGCAGCGAGTATGTTGTCTCACCTGGGAATCCCCGTCCGCGTCCTCTGCCATTTAAGGTTCCGCTGCTGCCTGTAACAATACAGGTGGCGAATTGTTATTAAAGTCGTACAGGGAACCATAATTCAGTTCTCTTCATCTCTTGAAGCTTATGGACGGATTTCGATGGGAAGTATAACCTCCACTACTTTACATGGTGATCAAATAAAACTTTTATCAAAATTATTGAAAGTCATCTTCACCCAAAAACTTGCCTGTAATGGCATCCCAAGGAATTTGAAGTTTCTTGTTTCACACACGATTCCGTTCAGTACAGGTACTTACTTTAGTGTTTTGAAAATAATGGCCATTTCTCGTATATCCACACCATAGGCATTTTACTACACTTTCGTACATAGCCAAATTTTGGAGATATAATCGTTTTAAAGCATGTTACAATCTAACTATTTAAAATCGAAGTTCATATAACATTTAAATTTTTGGTTCCTACCGCAAAGAAAACGCGTCTCTATTACAAAAGTAATTTGGTTAATGATCTTAGAGAAATAATCTCTTTTTATTCTGAGAATCATACGAGAGCAATCAAATGCAGATTTACCGAATATTAAAACAGGTGGTAAATGAAGTATCCGCCGTCCTTTGAAGTGTCAAACCAGGTCGTTTCGACAGAAAGGCTATCACAAATAGTTCGTGTGTGATTTAAATTTGGTTTAATGATTGCAATTCAGTCGAAGTTCTCACTGATAATGTTCCATAGTTTTGCGGGCAATCGATACGTTAGGCCGTTCTGTAGGTCAGATCAGTACAGGCTGGTACGTGCCCCCCCGAACAGACCTTCCGCCGAAACACAAACAGCAGCATGTCGGCCTCGCACCCCAGACGCATCCGGTTCGAATCATGTTTAGGGTACCGGATATTCTGACCGAGACTTCAGCAGTTCTTCTGTTATAACCGCATGTCGCACCCGATATCGGAAAGCGTAGCGTACGATAGCTGTTTAAATTAATAGGTTGGATAGTGTAAGAAATGGGTTCTCAAACTAATTACCCGGGATCATCTTCATCCGTTCTTATCGACTCATATGCCGCCGAGTTATTTGTGACGACATTTTATTGAAACTTATCGACAGTTTATTAAAATCGCAGATGACTGTCTTCTGGAATGTTATGCCGTGTAGTCTAGTGAACGGAGGCAGTAAGCACCTCTGAAACGTCGGTAACCTTCTACCAGACTACACGGACCAACATCCGAGGAGACCGTCACCTTCAGGAAAAATGTATATGATAACGTTATTTGAAGAAAATTATATAGCCGTAATGGGATCGGTCTTTCCGCCCGCACACTGTATCTTCGTCTTATTTGGCACTACTTAGCATTAGCACCTGAAACGGCGTCTTCTTAACGGAATAAATAACTTGCCAGTCGGTGACATTCGTGTTAACACATGCATGAAAGTGTCCGAGTTGCTTTGATGGACTGAACATTCATCTGGTTGAGACCAGTTTTAATTCTGTTCGACGTTTTACACGACGTCACTGAGTGGTAAAGTGAAGGAACTTCAGAGTTTAGTTCATTTACCACTCATTTCGTGTTTGGTAAGGTGAAGCCGAATGTTTCCGCGGTAATTTAACTAAGCACCAATCCATGCAGACGTACGGGGGAGTGGCGATATAGCTAAACCCGGTGTCTTTTGAATTCCGAATTGAGCCCCTGAGTCGATCTGAAATTAATGGCGAAGAAAACATTTTACCCCGCCTGGAATCAAATTTCGGTCGTCCGGCCCGTAGCCTCGCCAGAACACAAACAATGGACGTGCGATGCACAGCTCACAGAGTACGTAAGTTGTTCTACTTTCAGCATGAATTCGGGGTCATGACGTTATTCTGTTTGGTAGTGATGGGTTTAATCGTACTGTGACGGTCCACGAGCTGGAATACAGGGGTTCGATGCTCCACAGTGGCAACGTCCTGCCCCAACACTGTCGTGTCCAGATCGCAGATCAAGCCATTGACTTCTGTCTTGTTCCTATGTTTGTCATTTGTAGAGATTTGTCACCACTTTCACTATGTGCATGCAGCGCATGGCACTTAGACACAGAAGTTTCTGTACTCCCTCCGCAGTGTCGGCAGAGTTCGGTAAAGTTACTGACTGCGAGCTTGACAACCAGGGTTTGATTCCCGTCAGTGACAGACTCCCGTTTATTATTTAAAATGTACAATTCACAACCAGGAAAGTTTCAGATACGTTTACTCTTGACCGCCTTTCCCATACAAATATTTTCGATTATGTTTGTTGTTAATTTTAAAAGCTATCGAGCGTTCAGATAAGTTATTTTTATTTCCTTAAACATTAACACATTAACAACTGCTTTAAATAAAAGTGATAAATCTTAATATTTTGTCATGTCTCTATCAATTTGTTGCAAGACGAACCATTTTTCATAAATTTGGTGAAGTTAAATTTCGTCTTAAGGTAATGCAGGGTTATAATCAGGGCTTAACAAATTTTTCGTTTGCTCGTCCGTGCGGATCGAAAATTTATTCGTTAGCATTCTCTCCCGCACGCTTTTCTTATTTCTCCACAGTACATTTGTAATTTACAAAGGTTTTGGGGCCCGTGTAGAACAGACTCTGGCGAGTTTTAACGTCGGATTTAGGGAAATGATTAGAACGAGGTTCATTTGTCTTAGCGGCCATGCGCCAAGATGAGATGGGGCATGATGGGAAAGTAGTCTGACGCCTAAGCTCGCGGCCGGTTTTAAGTAGGTCTCTCGTCGGTTTCACACGGACTGCGTTTGTGCGTGAGTCGACAAGAAGTTGGGCAAGTAAGCAGAAACACGGGACACTCAGTAGTGCGAAAATATCAAAATGCCGCTCCGGATGTGGTCCAGGGAGTTGGATATTATTGCGGTAAGAGGCAACGTGGAACATAGGAAATGGGAGGTAATTTAACAATTTATAATTAAAGGATTAGATTTTTAAGATTTGAATTGGACTGAATGAACTATTGTATATTTTTAGACATTTTCCATCTTTTATATTTAAAAAAAACTACACGTTTCAGAAGCTACCTCTGCTTCCCTCATCAGGGACCCATATACGTAAGTTGTTATATGTGACGAAACAAGTACTATCTTACGAAACGTCGTGTGGATTTTTAACACAGAGGAGTGAAAATGTTAAAACAAATATGCATCTATTCACCTTCCGGAAAATGTAGCTAAATGAAAATCTACGCAATTGTAAATTATTAACAGAAATGCAGGCAGTGTCTACCAAACCGCTGTGCTGTGTATTTATCTTAAACAGCAGAAACAAAGTTATCATGGAGTTATTCATCGCGTATCTAGAATGGAAGTGCGTTATTACGCAATATAAATAAATTTCACGGTTTTCCTCCGACCGCTGGACTGAGTTTCTCTTACCTTCGAGTCGCGTCCAATTAGCATTCTTGGCACACAACGCACCAAGTGAGTTTGCTATAAAAGATGAATTTCGCAATGCGCAGCTGATCACTTCCTATTTTGGACACGGCAACTGATCGACTGGAGCAGGAGGTATCTCTCCGTAACGGAATGCACGCGGGCCCCATGTGTCACGTGAGAGCCTGATGGGTCGATGATAAGTATCAGCACAAAAAGATCGCTGCTACGCCGCGTTATGCAACAAAATTGCAAGAAAAGTCTTTTCTCGATAATATAATCAGCCTGAAACCAGCAAAGAGGCACTTTCCTACCCCGTTCATGTGTCCGTGCTAGGTACTACATTATCCCATAGATCGCAGGAAATTGGATACCTGAGCGACCGTTTCCTCCGATGTTGTAAGACGTCAGAGTACTCCATATGCATAGTAGATACTACCATCTTTTGGAAAATTATGAAATTTCGTATTTCCCGTCGTGAGATCAAGCAAACAACAAAACGTACATCAAACTGACTTTTCACGTAATACGCTAACACGAGAAATTTGATTTCTGGAATGGCCAGAATGCGTCTCTTCGCCCTAGCATCCACACTGGTTTCAGGGCCCATCCAGCCTCCTGTGCTGGCCGAACTTTAGGTTTCAAAAAGGGGTCTGCTCCACGGATTTACGTAGTTTTCGCTGCCGATAATCTGAACACTAAATATCGACGTCCGATTTGTTATAAACTTATGCACCCACCGATAATGTTTCCTAGGTCAATAAACCGTATCTTCCCCCATTAACGATTTACTCCAGGCACCTGTGTCTGGATACAGTATCTAGATACTGAGAATTGTGCCCAGCGGTGAACCGTGTCGTATTGAAAGATGCAGTTCTACTTGCAGAACAGTCCAGAGC